ATATCCACGTCTTATCTACTGAACCTGTAGCCATTCTGCACATGATCAGTTTAGTGTGTATTGCTAGAGAGCTTTTCTTGGGAGAGTGCATGTGATCAACACAGAGCCAATCAGCACTGTCAGGGGTTTTGTATCCTCCTAGAACAGAAAAAAAACTCCTCCTACATGCTTTAACCAGTGCTCTGCTGAACACTGATAGAAGTCACAAGACTGCTCTAACTGCTGATGAGAAAAGGTATTAAGCAGTTTATATTTACTAAAATGATTGCATTTCTTGTTCTGTGTACTGTGGGAGACCAGATATAGTGAATGCAGGGTCCTGGGTTTAGTAACACTTTAAAGCATAATTAAACCCAAAAACAGAAATGTAAGATATTGCAGCTTACCAGTTTTTAGGTGTGGTGGCTGAATTTGTTTTCTCTTTTGAGGCTAAGGTCATTATTAACAAGTACAGTGTCCATGTTACTTCATGTAAGATTGGCAGAAAGCACAAACATCCTTTTCTTTCTTGTGTTAACCTATTCCCATCATCCCCCATGTAATAGAGATGAACAAAGGCAGACATGTTTGAAGTCCAGCTTGGATAGCAACAGTGTTTACCTACTTGCATAAAGTGGAGGAGTGCGCATAGCCACCCAGGGACCAGAAGTGTGTTATTCGCAGGGTTACTAAGTGAAAATAAAGGGAAAAAAGCCAGGAAAAAAGAACATTTATGCAGGCACTTCACCTAAGAAGTAGAAAACTGCAATATATTAAATTATTGCTTTGGGTTTATTTTAAAATTTTACAAAATGTCAGCTCATTTGCAGCACATTGTAATCTTAATGGTAGATGAGTATCAACAAGTACCTCATTTTTTAAGTAACTACAAATGAAAATTTGTTCTTTACCAAGGAAGACTTTCCGAGAAAGCTCCCACCAGGATGCTGATTATTGGAACCTTGTATGCCTGCATTTACTAGCTAAGGCTAGGTTCACATCTCCGCATTCCTGCGTGCCGCATTTTGTGCCAGCACGAGAGCCCATTCATTTGAATGGACTCCCATGCCCCGGGACACGCAGGGAAGAAGTCCCTGCACTTCTTCGGAAAATGCAGCCCGCACAGGAACCTCCCAGTACGGTTGCGATTTCCAGTGCGGGCGGCGTGCCCTTAGAATTAATGGCACCCGCCCGCGGGTCTGCATTCCTCTGTGCGGGTGGTGCTGCTGCACGGATTTTTGTGCGGATCCGCAGCCTCACCACCCGCACAGATGTGAACCAGGGGTAAAGCATTGAGCACGTTTCAGCTGCTTCCTGATTAACTGCCAGAAATTTGCTTGACCCTAGGTTCACACCTAAGTGTTTTCCACAGCGTTTTGCAGAAATGCAGTACAGTCCATTTGACATGATTTCCAATAGAACACGTTCACATCTCCGCATTTTCACCCGGTGCGTTTTTTGGAAAGGGTCAGGGACTTTTTTAAACATAAAAAGTTGCGTTTTTGTTTTTATAGACTTCAATGGAAACAATGCAGAAAAGCATGTAGCACAGTTTTGCTGCATGTTTTGCTGCATTTTTGCGGCAACAAGAAAAAAAAACCCTGCAAAATGCATAAAAAATGCAGCAAAAATGCAAAATGTAAAACGCAATGCAAAACGTACTGCAGAAATGGATCAAACGCAAACTGCATAGGTGTGAACCTAGCCTGATGGGTGGCCCTGTTTATTGAAAATCAGAAGAAATCAGCATAAAATTGTCAGCTGAACTGCGGTTGCATCCAATCAAATGTTCGAGTATTCCGATACTTGCCAGTGGCAGCTGTCAGAATACAATAGTCGGCACTGGAGATTCATCTATCTACAATGAATAGTGTATGTTGATGAATTTGTCAGATTTTTTTTGTTCAGCCTGTAGGCCAGTGTATGGCCATTATCGCCAAAATTATTCACTGATTTACTTTACTGTTATATTATCCTATGTCCATGCACACATAGACTGTAATCAATGTTTTTTTGCAGGGCCGTTTTTTGGCTGTAAGGCTCCATGCACACTGGACGTTTGAATAACGCTGGTAACATTAGCTGTGTAAACTCACGTTGAAAGTGTGAGTTTTTCTGCTTTTTTAGCGTTTTTGCATTAGCGTTTAGCAGCGCTTTACTGTGTGTAGCAGCGTTTGCAGTTTTTAGCGGTTTTTTACCCCCCCCCAAAATTTGAAGGGTCAAAAAAAGTCTAAAAAGCAGGCTTGCAGCTTTTTACCGCGTTTTGCCACTTTTTCAGCGTTAAGAGTGTTTTTACAGCTAAAAAACTCCTCTAGAAACCCACTAGTCCTGGGCTTTTTTCCAGCTAAAAAATGTCCCTGCCAAAAAATGTTGATTACAGCCTATGTGTGCATGGACACATAGGATAACACAGCCTTTCTTAACCAAAGTGCCTTGGCAAAGTGTCTATTGCATTTCCATATTGTGTGTTCTGTGGGAGACCAGATATAGTGAATGCAGGGTCCTGGGTTTAGTAGCACTTTAAAGAGGCGGCAATCTGCCTGAACAACATGGGATAAGTCAAAGACCAACCGAACAGTGTCGCCCAGTGTCTCCTCCTCACACCTGATTTAAACCTCTAGTTGTCGTACTACTGTGTCGCAATCGCTTGCATTGCATGGCAATCATGGGTTAAGGTCAGGTGGTGAGGAGGTAACATATTGCCTGCTCACCACCTATCAAACACACTCGGATCGCTTTTCAGAAGAGCACCAGTGTCTGCTGCACTTGTGTATCAGTGCTTAGTTGCATTCGGCAGTGGCAGCCTTAGGGTTGGTTCAGATATAAAGTTGAGGTGGTGGTAAAACCCTACAGTTGAGTTGCGGTTTTACTGCCCCTATTCCTACTCTCTACACATGTCACAGCACGAATTAAACCTGCTGTTGCTTTTGGTGGGTGCTACCGCCTGCCAATTGTGACCCATTCAAGTAAATGGGGCCACTCTGCAAGCACCCGGCAACTGCGTACTTCTACATGGTCCAAAGGGTTAAAGCAGGTGGTGAGAAAGCAACACAATGCTGTTGTTTTAACCCCTTGTTTGCTGTACTGCACGGGGTTGCAGGGCACTTGCAAAGCGGCCTCACTTCAATGGGTCATGCTTGACAGGTGCTACACTCACCAATCATAACAGGGCATATAACTCCTGCTGTGGCTGTGCATTTGTACACCCCTGGCCACTGCAGGTAATGTGGGTGCAGTAGGAGTGGGGGTGGTCAAAACATGTCTTAACTATGAGCTTTTACCACCCCCCAAACCTCAAATGTATATGAACCCTTACTGTTCTGAGCCCCCTATAAGGCTGTTTTCACACTAATGTGCTGCGGTTTACTCAAACTGTGGGTGCAGTGCAGTGCATCTGTGACTTTCCTGGATTAGCTGCGCTTTGCCATAGACTTCTGTTATATAGTATCCTGCATTCAGGAGTTTTGGTGTGCTTTCAGAAAGTGCACCAAAAAGTGCATCAAACCCACAGGATATAATAGAAGTCTATGTCCAAATCCAAAGGAAAGCTTCAGGTACCCTGTACTGCACGTGCAGTGTGGGTAAACCGCAGTGCATCAATGTGAAAGCAGCCCTATACTATTATGCCCAGTGTATTGCTTCACACTGACTTGAAGGTCTCTTCTTTCCTGCTGCTGGCACCACTCTGGAGATCTCTACCCGGGATAAGAGGTGGAGTGCAGCTGGTATCACTCCACATGGAACAGGAGCCGGCACTACAGAGGAGGCAGAAGCTTATATGGCTCTTACTCCCTACTACAGCTTCAAATTTAAAAGTAGTCCCTCTGCATTGCCTTCTGTTTGATGCTCTGGGACGGCGGGTCAGCAAGTCCAGACCATGATCTATCAGTCACTTGGCTGCGATCTACTGGTAGATCATGATCTGCTGGTTACTGACTCCCATAATAGGTATTCCAATCCATCTCCACTCTGTCCTCAACTAGAAAAAAAGGTTTTGTCCTCCTGAGGAATTACCCCCTTCTTGATCAGGCCATTTTTTGCGTTACGGCGCTGCGTTACTTTAACTGACAATTGTGCGGTCATGCAACGCTGCACCCAAATGAAATTTATGTCCTTATTTTCCAACTAATTGAGCTTTCTTTCAGTGGTATTTGATAGCCTGTGCGTTTTTTATTCCTTGCGCTATTAAAAAAAAAAAAAAAAAGTACAATTTTGAGAAAAAAAACAATATTTTTGACTTTTTGCTATTAAACATGCCCAGTAAACAAATTTAAAAAATCTAATTTTGTCATAAATTTAGGCCAAAATGTATGTCTTTGCTAAAAAAAATCCCAATACGTGTAAATCAATTGGTTTACGTGAAAGTTATAGCATTTACAAATGGCGGTATGGATACTGGAATTTGTTGTTTTATTTTTTATTTTTACTAGTAATGGCAGCGATCAGCAACTTATAGCATTCTGACACTGGGGGAACTGACTTGGTGTCACTGACTTCCCCAGTGATACAAATACAGTGATCAGTGCTAAAAAAAAGTACTGACACTGTACTAATGACACTTGGCATGAAGGGGTTAACATCTGGGGCAATCAAAGGGTTAATTGTGTGCTGTTTCACTGTAAGCTGTGCCCATGTGCTTCACTGTAATCACACTGCTTTGCATGGCTGTGCTGTGCACAGCCATGCAAAGCAGTGTGCACGAGCTGACAGGGAGGAGAACTGTTTTGTTTACAAATAGTTCTCCTCCCCGTTGGAGATCCTCGGCAATCACCGGGCGTCGGTGAGTATTCACCGGCCGGGACCCGGTGATTGACAGCCATGTCCACAAATGGCGCGAATGCCTTGTGCGTTCCCCCTACCCAAAAATGCAAATTCACATATATATAGGTGATTTTGCGCACCCGTGCTGCCCTGTAGCAGTATATCTGCTATAGGGTGTTCGGGAAGCTGTTAATTACATTTGCTAACATGTAATGTATTTGTTGATGGGCAACTCACACTTCACTTGAATTTCACTTCAGAATTTGGAGAGTGTCAGTGATGCCAAACAAGCTTTCGAAAAGGAGACTATGATGCTGCAGGACAGGCTCAAGGCATCACAGAGAGCCTGGGAGGCCTGCAAGCAAGAACTGAACCAGGTGAAGAAAAGTTCCACCAAGCTAGACATGTCTCTGAAGAGCAGCGTTGGGGAGGCAAAGGCTGCCCAGAATCTACTGGACTTATTCATGGATGAGGTTGCCGCAGCTCTCAGTGATGCTTCTATAACTGTGAAGCCAAAAGATGAAACAATTTTGGAGAGAATACATGATTTACAGAAAATGGTGGAAAGCAAAAAAATTGTAAGTAATCGCAAGTTTCAAAGAGGCCCTGTTACCAGACCATACATTTCAACCAAAAATCTTGCCGTAAGATTATATGTGCATTTAACTATCTTATGTAAATTATTTACTTGTAGAAGTCAGTCTTCCTTGTGTAGACAGCCAAATGCCCTGAGACTGCTGCTGGTTGCCATCATATTGGATGTAATGTCAGTAGCCCCAGCAATCACAAAGCGGGGACACTTACAGCTGGGGTCAGAAACCTTTTTCACATTAAAGCGGAGTTCCAGATGGTTTTGTGTTTATTAACCATTAGCCGCCCTAGGGACACGTGACGTCAGACGTATCGACGTTGACTGGAAGTGCGATCACGGCCATCTTGGAAGTGGGAACATGTGGCCAATGTTTCCCTGAATCTGTCCACACTTACATCCCTGTGAGGAGGAGCTGTTTTCACCTAGATTTTATGTAAGTCACCAATAAAGGAGGATATGTTATAGACTATCTGTGACTGTGGATTTTCTTGAAAATGGAAGTAAAACCCTAGTATTTGGATACAATCGGTTGGAGGAGAAATTAACCCAGAGTGGTGTCCTGCCTTGATGTTTTTGATTTAGGGTAATTACCCATCAGCATATGAGTTTGGAGAGTGTTGTTTTGGTGTTAGGGGATCACTGTGATATACACTTGCAGTATTAATTGGGATTTGTTTTCACACATGGTGTTTTTGACACTTCTGTTATATGAGTGTGTTTCACTTATATTTATATTCACTATAGAATTTTTGCATGTGTATAGATTCTCGTCCATAGAATATACACATTTATTAAGGATTTTTGCATGCTGCATGGCACGTGTGTTGTATTATATTTAAGGTATGACACTATGTAAAGTTTTTTCTTTTTGAGGTGTACTGTCATCAGGATTTGCGGATATTGAGAAGGAGTGTTTGATGAAAGAAGAAAGAAAATTAATATTTACACCTGTGGGGATTATTTAGGTTTTTTTTTTGGATTATATATTTTTTTGGATTATTTTTTTGGATTATTGTATATTTTTTGGATTATCATTTCTTTGGATTATATATTTTGTATTTTTGAATTTTGGATATTTGGGACATTTTTTTGGTTTCATATTTTTATGTGGGTTTTATTTTATTTTTTGTTTATTTTTGTTATTTATTTATTGTACTACTTTGGTCATAGTAAAATATGAAAAAAAATCTTAAAAAAAATAAAAAAAAATGTAATAAAAAATTTAAAATAATAAAAAATTAAAAAAAAAAAAATAAAAAAAAAAAAATATATTTTTTTTTCATACTATCACCAGTCAGTGTCCCTGTTCACCGCCATGCCAGTTATAGGATGACGCTGTACTGCACTGGTGACAGTATGTAAAAAAAAAATAGTGAAAATAATTTGTTTAATTTTTTCTATTTCCGAAAAATTATGACAAAAAAAATACAACTTCAAAAAACTCGCCATGCCTCTTATGAAGTACGTCAGACTGTCTACTCTGCAAAAAGGGGTCATTTGGGGATATCTGTACTGTTCTGACATTCTTGGACCTCAAGAAATTATATTGTCTGTCAGTACTTCAGGATTGATCAATTTTCAGATATATACCATAGTTTGTGAACTCTATAACTTTCCTACAAACTAAATAATACATCCTAATTTGGGTTATTTTCACCAAAGACATGTAGCAGAATACATCTCGGCCTAAATTTATGAAGAACAATTATTTATTTGTAAACTTTTATAACAGAAACAAAGAAAAATGTGTTTTTTTTTCAAACTTTTTGGTCTTTTTTTGTTAATTTAGCAAAAAATAAAAACCCCAGCGGTGATTAAATACCACCAAAAGAAAGCTCTAGTTGTGTGAAGAAAATGATAAAATTTTAGTTTGGGTACAGTGTTGTATGACCGAGCAATTGTCATTCAAAGTGTGAGAGCGCTGAAACCTGAAAAATGGCCTGGGCAGGAAGGTGTAAAATTGCACGGTATTGAAATGGTTAAACTATTTTAAACATAAAACAGTTTAGTTACAGTATATATATGTTTTCCTAGTGTTAGTTTTGGGCTTTGCCAGGAATCGACTTTAAACTGACATCAAATCTGGCCTGCAAACGTTTTAGTAAGACATTTAATAATCCGTGAACTTGCTTTTTTGCAGTTAAACAGGGCTTATGAGTCTGTGCTTGTGGATCAGACAAAGAAATTAGAATTCTTTTGTAGGCTTGGTTTAATTATTGCTGAAAAGAGCTGACAATTTTTTTTCCTTTGATCTCCAGGGGCACCTTAACCCCATCATTTGTTCCTTTTCAGAGAGGAAATAAGATTTAGTCTAATAGATGACTCTTTTTCCAAATATTTAATATGCCTCTATTCAATCTGACACAGATTGTGATGAGTTTTTATCATATAAGTAATTATTAAACCTTAATCTGGTATTGAATCAACAATATTGAATCATCTAGTCAAAATTGAGGAAATACAGGTTGCTTTTTCTTTGGGGACCCATTCAAACTTAGGCATTCCACTGCACCGTGTAGAGCTATTCACCCTGAAGTCATCACAGAGGACAAGGGGGCACTCTTTACGTCTGGAGGAAAAGAAATTTAATCTCCAAACATGGAAAGGTTTCTTCACAGTGAGAGCTGTGAAAATGTGGAATAGACTCCCTCAAGAGTTGGTTCTGGCCAGCTCAGTGGATTGCTTTAATAAAAGGCCTGGATTCTTTCTTAGATACACAGAATATAACTGGATACTAACATTTATAGGTAAAGTTGATCCAGGGACAGGGGCGGACTGACCATTTGGAAACTCGGGCACTGCCCGAGGGCCCGGGGTCAGTAGGGGGCCCCAGGAGATGCCTCTGGTACCTTTTTCATAGGTTTTTTTGAGTTTGGGCAAGGACACAGGGGCCCCATGATCCCCTATTGCCGGGGGCCCCATGAGTTTTCAGTCCGCCCCTGTCCAGGGAATATCCAATTACCTCTCAGGGGATCAGGAAGGAATTGTTTTCCCTGCAGAAGCAAATTGGATCATACTTTGCTGGTTTTTTTTGGCCTTCCTCTGAATCAATTGTGGGTATAGGATTATAACTTTTTTTTTTTAATGGTTGAACTGGATGGACTTTTTTCTTTTTTCAGCCAGACTAACTATGTAACGTGCATTAAAAAGCATTAAGGCATGCAATAATGTTCATTGAATTAAGGTAGCACATTCACAATGAATGCTCAGTGGTTGAAAATACACACCCTTTTTAAAAATACAGCTCATCGCAATGCATGGTATACGCATTGTGGTGCGCTGCAGTGTGTTAGGCTCTTCTGTACAACGACTTGGGGTGCCATTCACAATGGATGGCACCCCAATGCACCACACATAGAAATGGTCACCTACCACAACTGACACAACAAAATGAGTGTTAATGGGACTTATTAGCATTGGGAAGGAGATGTTTTGAATCCCTCGCCACTGAATTAATCCATGTTGATCAATTAAATCAAACTCTTTTCCCGTTTATGAAATTAAAGTTAAAGTAGATTTTAAACCAGATCTTACAGTGGATATAAAAAGCCTACACACCCCTGTTAAAATGTCAGGTTTCTGTGGTGTAAAAAAAATGAGACAAAGATAAATCATTTCATAACGTTTTCCACCTTAATGTAACCTATAAACTGTACAACTCTGTGCACACCCTTAAACTAATACTTTGTTGAAGCACCTTTTGATTTTATTACAGCAATCAGTCTTTTTGGGTATGAGTCTATCAGCATGGCACATCTTGACTTGCAAAAACACTCCAAATCTGTTAGATTCTGATGGCATCTCCTGTGCACAGTCTTCTTCAAATCACCCCACAGATTTTCTTTCGGATTAAGGTCTGGGCTCTGGCTGGGCCATTCCAAAACTTTAATCTCCTTCTGGTGAATCCATTCCTTTGTTGATTTGGATGTATGCTTTGGGTCGTTGTCACGCTGAAAGATGAAGTTTCTCTTCATATTCAGCTTTCTAGCAGAAGCCTGAAGGTTTTGTGCCAATATTGACTGGTATTTGGAACTGTTCATAATTCCCTCTACCTTGACTAAGGCCCAAGTTCCAGCTGAAGAAAAACAGCCCCAAATCATGATGCTGCCACCGCCATGCTTCACTAAGGGTATGGTGTTCGTTTGGTGATGTGCAGTGTTGTTTTTGTGCCAAACATATCTTTTGGAATTATGGCCAAAAAGTTCAACCTTGGTTTCATCAGACCATAACACATTTTTTTCCCACATGCATTTGGGAGACTTCAGGTGTGTTTTTGCTAAATTTAGCCAGGCTTGGATGTTTTTCTTCGTAAGAAAAGGCTTCCAACTTGCCACTCTACCCCAAAGCCCAGACATATGAAGAATACAGGAGATTGTTGTCACATGTACCACACAAATATTTCTTACTGATGAACGGTGCCACTGGACATATATAGGTGTTAATATGAAATACAAGGGGGGGGGGGGCAGCTATCTAGATCTTGGAACCCAAGGTATTATACCACAATTAATATTTAGAACAGCGCTCCTTGACCCCTTATCTTATAGCATAAATATGCAGACCATCTTTATATGTAAAAAAAATGAAAAACAAATATAAATAAATAAAAAAATCTCTAAATGTGCAAATAATAAATTATTTTTCAACCATTAATAATGCAGAATATATATATTAAGTGTAAAACAAAAATATTATCATGTCAGATCTCTCCACCCAACACCATAATAATATCATAATCTTCCAATATCACCAATCATTAATCATCAATAAATATATATACCAATTCGTGCATATATAACAACACTTATGTGACAATGTGTCCATCCAACCAATATCACTGTGTTAAAACGTCCATAAATTGATATGCCTAAAAAAAAGTCCTCTAGTTTATCTCTTTAAACCATATGTGTCTTAAAACACCACCACACTGTGTTATTACACCACCAGACAAATTGAATAAACTCACCAGAGCTCCGTGCTGGTAATGTTATAAACCAGCTAATGCGCAGTGGCTCTGGGAGTAATGATCTGCAGGGATGCCAAATA